GCGAGTGTAAAAATAGAACTGACGTCATCGAACGCGCGTGTGTGCGACGACCTTGACCCAGCACTGCCAGAGGTAGGCAGTCACAATATCACTCACCTTTGATCATTTTAGAATATCCTAATTAAACCTATTTCAAAATAATTTACAATTATAATTTATTAATCCGAAATCTTAAATGGGAGGATATGGTCCCCCCCCCCCCCAATCATTTGCTCTCCGACCCCCACCATTTTGCCACGCCCTAAACCGTATTTAAAACTTGATGTTAGACACTAAAATCACGTGACCGTGTTGCGTGACAAATACCCACAAACGCTCCACGCAACGTTTCTTTCAGGCATCTCTTCGGTAGGGCAATGGCCCTTCCCCCCCCCCCCCCCCCCCCAAATCCCTTGAACGAAATTAAGTGTATATAGAAAATAAATACTTTTACTAGTGCCCCCCGCCCCCCCCCCCCCCCCGGATAATTTAGTCCGTCCGTGCCCTCCCCCAAAAGTTTCATTCACCCCCCCCCCCACCTACGCACCCAGAGAAAAAGTCTGAAAGAAACAGTGACTCCAAGTACATTACTGCTGATTTAGCTGCTGTTACTTATTGTTGTCAGCAGTTTTTCTATTACAGTCATGTCACCTAAAAGCCCACCCCACACTTGTTACAGTGACATTATCGCCTGCCCCCCCCCCCTCCCCTCCCTTCAACCTGACATTTGTTACTCCCACTGACAACACGATAACATCTCGCCATAGCGACATTCCTTATCTGTAAACATAATCAATAACAGATCAATAACCAATCGGGCGAGTCAAAGGCTAATCGTTCTCATCTTTAAATAATAAATAGCTTCATCCTGGGTATCAGTACTTGGTCTCTTCACTTCAGCAATTCACTTCACTTCATTACTTCAATGCTCTACGCTACATTACACTACACTTCACTTCAGCAATTCACTTCACTTCATCCCTTCACTGCACTACTTCACTGCTCTACGCTACATTGCACTACACTACATTTCAACAATTGTCTTTATCACCTCACTACTTCATTTCACCATACTATTTAATCACTTCAGCTACCTACTTCAGCAACCTACTCCAGCAACCTACTCCAGCAACCTGCTTCAGCAACCTGCTACAGCAACCTGCTTCACAACACTTTACTTCACGCCTTCGCATCATCACTTTACTTCATTTCATAACTTTTTTTACCTTTTCATTTGACCACTTCACTTCATAACTTCACGTCACTGCTAACATCATTAAGGTAAAAAAAAACAAATTTGACCGTGACGAACATAACCACTGAGCATGTAAAACTCTGTAAGCATGATAAAATAAACTTTCAATATAAAACAAACACACACAAAATGGATTTACATCAAAGGTCAAAAGTCACATAACTAGAATATCAACAATTTCCTGATGTTTATTTCATGGCACTGCAGAAAGAAAAATCAATAGAAAATGTTAAATTATTAAAAATGTATTTATCGAAGCTGAACTTTTATACAACTGTAATATATGTGTAGAAAATCAGCTATAGGAAACTCAATAGTTGTTTGTCGTTTTCTGATGAAAAATTTAGAGGAGAATTCGTATCAACAGGAGTTGTGAATGTTGTCGCATCATGGGTGGTCTGTGTGAAGTAGCCATAAACTACACCATTAGCTTACATGTTCGTTAGCAACAGTTTTTGTTGTTGAGCAAGGAATACGTAGATGACATGCCTTGACCAGCGGTGTGCATGAGTACACCAGCGGTGTGTATCTGTGGCTCGTGGGGATACTCACGTGCCTAATGCGACTCTTTTAAGTTATGATAATTGGAGATTTGTAGATGCATAAGGTGGTTGCTTTAAAACTGGCATATTCACATATATTTCTCTGCCTGTCTCAGTGCTCTGCCTGTCTTAGTGCCCTGTATGTCTCAGTGTCCTATCCCAGTGCCCTGCCTGTCTCAGTGCCCTATCTGTCTCAGTGCCCTGTCTAAGTGTCCTGCTCATTCCTCCCACTAAACGATCATCGACCTTCGTGTCATTACCCCCACCCCACTCCCTCCCCCACATCCCCACCCCCACAAACCTCTTCCTAAATCAACGTTCGTCTCCCCCAACACAGAGCTATCGACCGTCAATTAATCAGACTTAATAAGAATCCCCTCCATCCCCTGTCCCATGTAACAGGATTGTCCTTAGCCCGGTGACGTTTTCTTTCCCGCCCCCAACGCATCGTCCATTTTTGCTGGCCAGTTGACAGGGTCTTGGACAGTCCAAGAGGAGCAAACAATTCTAACTTGAGCCCCAGAGGAGCGGCACCATGATCCCTACGTACTCAGTTACCTCAGTTAACATCCAGCACACCATTTTGACCAGTGGTTGCTGTAGCATTGTTTACTTCCGGCTGATACCAAATGTATACAGTTTCCCTCACATTTCACCTTCCTTATTCTTCTTGGAGCTTAACTGTAATGTTTGAAAAGATTTCCTCCAACACAGTTAAGTAGAACGTGTCAACTTGTAATGCACCATATAGGCCGTTGACACCTGATTTTCTTTTTGGATTTGTTTCCATAGCCTTTGTCCAAACAAGAACAAACTACAGGGCAGCAGTTGTTAGATTTTGTAATTGTCGTGCCTAAATGGGTTGCTGTCCCCAGCTATCGAGCCTCACTTGCCGGGGATTCGAACTCTTGATTTTTCGCTTTGGCAACCATAAGCTTTACCAACACGACCAGATCAACCTACCTTCCAATCTCACCTCTTATCTCATCTTCCGACCATCTCCATCTCACTATATATCTCACCATCTTCCTTACTTCCAATCTAAACTCATCTTATAGTTCACATCCCATCTCAACATCTCCCTCCCCCTCCCCTTTCTCCTCCGCTCCCAAATCTCCAACCCCCCCTCCCCCCCACAATCTCCTAACCCCCCCCCCCTCCCAAATCTCCACCCCCCCCCCCCCTCCCAAATCTCACCTTCCAACTTATCATCCTCCCTCCGACAATTGAACTCCATTTCCAATTCCCTTCATTATTTACTCGCCAAGCCGCTGCCTGCTTGACGCGCATGCGTAAAAACCCGCCATCTTCCCCCCTCAGCTAGACAGCCGTGTCCTGCGCTAGACGGCGCGACGATGCGACAAATCTCGTTTGGCTGTGCCGTGTTCATCATCGCGACAGCCCGTGAAATCTTCGAGAGTTCCTTCCCCTGTTCTGTTCGCGCCTCTACCGATGACACATTTTTTTCTCATCCTTTCTTGCTCTGATTTTCAAAACGCTTTCATCTCTTCAAACCACCTTCCAACAAAATGTTGTCTGCAAATTATTTATTTTCAATCTTTTGGTGTTACATAATCAACCTTCCTACCTCGGTCTGCAAAGTCTATTACCTAACGTGTGCAATTTTCATTTCCATTTTGTGCTAACACATACATGGATTATTTATTACGCTGTGTATTCTAATGCAATACACATAATATGTACCAGCATATTGCTACTCTATAGTCTATACCACTCTATACTGTAACATTATTCCACACGTTTAGCGACAGTTTGATGTTCAGCTTACAACGTAGATTTATTTTAAGACTGTGTAACTTTATCTGTGCCCGATTCCCAGTAAGGTTAGAGTTTCTTTCGGCCCTTCTATGAAAAATATATTTAATATTTAATTAACCCGTGTCGTAGTCGCCCCCTTCCCAATGTTTGTTTCCCAATTTTCTCCGGGGGGGGGGGGGGGGGGGCGTTTGAAACTTTGGAGAGGGTGTGGCGGACTAAATTTTCCAGGGGATGGAGGGGAGGGACGGACACTTAGGATTTATATAGAATGTATGTATACTTTTACTAGTTTTACATTTCGTTTTTGGGAAGTAACACTGAATGAGGCAGGTGTAGTAGAGTTCTGCTCCACTTCTCAGATATTTTAATTATGTAATTAGCTTCAAGAGTAACCCGCCCAACCCCTACCCCCCCCCCCCCCCTTACAGCCGTCTGATGTTCGAAGGATTCCTGTAAAAGATTTTTTTTTCTTACAGCTAAGCAGGGGACGTAACTGTCGCAGCCTTTAACAACTCGGCAAATGTCACGTGAGCCGAACGGATTTTTCGCTGACCGGAAGTTGTTCGTGTCGAGTTGTCTACCCTTTCCCCTGAGATTGTGTCCCCTTGTCTCCTCCAGATGTTCTGTCCCTTGCTTGGTCACTGGTTGGTCAGTTGTCTGCTTTTCTCTTTGGATGGTCCTCTTGTAATGGTGGGATGTCCTCTTGTGTTGGTGGGATGTCCTCTCGTCTTGGTGGGATGTGGATGTCCTCCTGTCTTGTTGTTCGTGTCGAGTTGTCTACCCTTTCCCCTGAGATTGTGTCCCCTTGTTCTGTCCCTTGCTGGGTCACTGGTTGGTCAGTTGTCTGCTTTTCTGTTTGGATGGTCCTCTTGTCTTGTTGGGATGTCCTCCTGTCTTGGTGGGATGTGGATGTCCTCCTGTCTTGGTGGGATGTGGATGTCCTCCTGTCTTGGTGGGATGTCCTCCTGTCTTGGTGGGATGTGGATGTCCTCCTGTCTTGGTGGGTTGTGGATGTCCTCCTGTCTTGGTGGGATGTCCTCTCGTCTTGGTGGGATGTCCTCCTGTCTTGGTGGGATGTCCTCTCGTCTTGGTGGGATGTGGATGTCCTCCTGTCTTGGTGGGATGTGGATGTCCTCCTGTCTTGGTGGGATGTGGATGTCCTCCTGTCTTGGTGGGATGTGGATGTCCTCCTGTCTTGGTGGGATGTAGATGTCCTCCTGTCTTGGTGGGATGTCCTCTCGTCTTGGTGGGATGTGGATGTCCTCCTGTCTTGGTGGGATGTCCTCCTGTCTTGGTGGGATGTCCTCTCGTCTTGGTGGGATGTGGATGTCCTCCTGTCTTGGTGGGATGTCCTCCTGTCTTGGTGGGATGTCCTCCTGTCTTGGTGGGATGTCCTCCTGTCTTGGTGGGATGTCCTCTCGTCTTGGTGGGATGTGGATGTCCTCCTATCTTGGTGGGATGTCCTCTCGTCTTGGTGGGATGTGGATGTCCTCCTGTCTTGGTGGGATGTCCTCCTGTCTTGGTGGGATGTCCTCTCGTCTTGGTGGGATGTCCTCTCGTCTTGGTGGGATGTGGATGTCCTCTCGTCTTGGTGGGATGTGGATGTCCTCCTGTCTTGGTGGGATGTCCTCTCGTCTTGGTGGGATGTCCTCTCGTCTTGGTGGGATGTGGATGTCCTCCTGTCTTGGTGGGATGTCCTCCTGTCTTGGTGGGATGTCCTCCTGTCTTGGTGGGATGTGGATGTCCTCCTGTCTTGGTGGGATGTGGATGTCCTCCTGTCTTGGTGGGATGTCCTCCTGTCTTGGTGGGATGTCCTCTTGTGTTGGTGGGATGTCCTCTTGTGTTTGTGGGATGTCCTCTTGGTGGGATGTCCTCCTGTCTTGGTGGGATGTCCTCTTGTGTTGGTGGGATGTCCTCTTGTCTTGGTGGGATGTCATCTTGTCTTGGTGGGATGTCCTCTTGTCTTGTTGAAATGTCCTCTTGTCTTGGTGGATGTCATCTTGTCTTGGTGGGATGTCCTCTTGTCTTGGTGGGATGTCCTCTTGTCTTGGTGGGATGTCCTCTTGTGTTGGTGGGATGTCCTCTTGGTGGGATGTCCTCCTGTCTTGGTGGGATGTCCTCTTGTGTTGGTGGGATGTGGATGTCCTCCTGTCTTGGTAGATGTCCTCTTGTCTTGGTGGGATGTCCTCTTGTCTTGGTGGGATGTCCTCTTGTCTTGGTGGGATGTCCTCTTGTCTTGGTGGGATGTCCTCTTGTGTTGGTGGGATGTCCTCTTGGTGGGATGTCCTCCTGTCTTGGTGGGATGTCCTCCTGTCTTGGTGGGATGTGGATGTCCTCCTGTCTTGGTGGGATGTCCTCCTGTCTTGGTGGGATGTGGATGTCCTCCTGTCTTGGTGGGATGTGGATGTCCTCCTGTCTTGGTGGGATGTGGATGTCCTCCTGTCTTGGTGGGATGTCCTCCTGTCTTGGTGGGATGTCCTCTTGTGTTGGTGGAATGTCCTCTTGTGTTGGTGGGATGTCCTCTTGGTGGGATGTTCTCCTGTCTTGGTGGGATGTCCTCTTGTGTTGGTGGGATGTCCTCTTGTCTTGGTGGGATGTCCTCCTGTCTTGGTGGGATGTCCTCTTGACTTGGTGGGATGTCCTCTTTGTAGGATGTCCTCTCGTGTTGGTTATATGTCTCTTGTGTTGGTGGGATGTCCTCCTGTCTTGGTGGGATGTCCTCCTGTCTTGGTGGGATGTCCTCTTGACTTGGTGGGATGTCCTCTTTGTAGGATGTCCTCTCGTGTTGGTTATATGTCTCTTGTGTTGGTGGGATTTCCTCCTGTCTTGGTGGGATGTCCTCATGTCTTGGTGGGATGTCCTCTTGACTTGGTGGGATGTCCTCTTGTCTTGGTGGGATGTCCTCTTGTATTGGTGGGATGGCCTCTTGTAATGGTGGGATGTCCTCTTGTCTTGGAGGGATGTCCTCTTGTGTTGGTGGGATGTCCTCTTGTAATGGTGGGATGTCCTCTTGTCTTGGTGGGATGTCCTCTTGTCTCGTTGTGATGTCCTCTGTTCTGCCATTTAAAAAATGTATTTTCATGAATCGACAAGTTGTAAAGTTGAAGCCTTTTTCTCTAAGCGTACTTCTACAAAAACTTCTTATTTCATGACATCTGATTTTGTCAATCTTCACAATTATATAGTACAGTTCCTCTCTAGACCTAGCAATGCATTGGACAGATGAAGTAGAGTTCATTTGCTTCTTGACCTCACCATATAAAGGGATGGTTTGGTCTGCTATACGCCCAGCCACCTTTACTTTCTCCAATCTAAGTCAGGCACCCATCAGAGCTGGGTGGACTCAGGCACGTCCTACAGTCACTATTCCGAGCCGGGACCTGAACTCGAGACACTCGGGCTAGCAGCCAAACGCTCTACCATTCGACCACACCGTCCCATTTCCCCACGATACCGGGGTCCTATAGTTTCCACAGATCCCTGTCCTTAAGTCCAACTAATTTGTTACCACTCTAAGCTCTACATTTAGAACAGTCGTGTGTCCTTTGCCTTTCCTAAACCCGTGTAATACATGCCCTATCATTGTCCTATATGTCCTCTAAATCCGTGTCCTTCTTGTCCTCTAAACCCGTGTCCTATATGTCCTCTAAACCGTGTCCTATATGTCCTCTAAATCACAGTCCTATATTTCCTCTAAACCCGTGTCCTACTTGTCCTCTAAACCCTTATCCTTTACGTCCTCTAAAAACTTGTCTATCTTCCTCCCCCCCTCCCCAAATGCCTGTAGCCAATGTGATTAGTATCAGCGGCATCAGGCCCCACCCCCCCTCCCCCATCCCCCATCAGATCCATTTGTCTCTCACTGAAACCTGACAAATTTCATTGTGTTACTGGTACCCGCCCCCAGGGGGTTCTATCGATACCCCGACGGTTCCCCATCTGTGGTACGGCTACCCGCATTGTTCGCCGGCTGTCCCAGGGGTTAAGCAATATCGCAACAAAATGACACCACACTAACAGATGCACCTCTTTGATCAGCCGGTGCTACAGCTTCTAGCCTGACGCTGTAGTTTACAGCCGGGAAACGCCCACTTCCGGTACCTAAATGCTGTGTTATTTAGAGTGCTCTCCCATCCCCGTTGTTTTTTTTTTATTCTAGATCCGGATGTGCCAGGAAATTTCAATCATGTTCTAAATCATGCGTTGATAGAGGCGTTATTTTTTTTTCAAGTTATGTTTAGGTGATCTGTTTTGAAGCTGATCCCCTTTTTTAAACTTCCTCTGTACAAAAGGATGTTATTACACTCTGTTCCAACACTGTTGACAAAAAATAAACAAATCAGTTGAAGAAAGGTTCTCATGGTTTTTAGCAGCCCCCTTCCTCGTCCCGCATTAGGCCATTTTAAATATTTTTTAAAAAATACATACATAAAAAATGGTCAGAAAACTGCAGATGGTGTAGTCGGGAGGAAGAGCGTAAGATTGTTAACTCCAAGTACCGGGTTTGGGACCCCCGGGCTAGACTAGATAAAACCACGTTTTACAGAGACGCGAACAGTGTTTCTTTCAGACTTTTTTCTCCCGGGGGGGGGGGGGAGTGCTGGACATTGGTAGAGATGCCTGAAAGAAACTATGGACGCGAGAAAAGTAAATAGAACCAAAATAAAGATTAGAGATTATCTCCAAAGAGTAAGAAGGAACAAAATCTATCCAGAACCATATCAAGATTAGAAAAAACAAACAAAAAAAAAACAAATAAATAAACCCTGCTAAAAAGCAAATCACCGACCAAAGTACCCAAGGAACAGCACCATAGGACGAAGAGCTAAAGCTGTCTAGTTAACACCTCTGGCACCTTATGGTAGCCCATCCTATTGTGGCACTTCTTGAGGGGGTTTAAAACTTTCTGGTCGGGGGGGGGGGGGACTGGTTAAAGTATATATTTTCTATGGTTCCCAGAAAGATGCGCAATCAGAAAATTGCGCAACGGAAATCTGCACGAACAGAAAATTGCGCAAATACAATTAATTATACTAATAAACCTTAATTGTGTTCTATTTCTATAAAATATGTTATATTATGCTAAATACAAATACAGACACTCCTTGTTAATGTCTGTAAGTGTTCGATTTAAGAAAACAAAAATGCGGATTTTTTTTTGTATGCATAGTTTTCAGTTGCGTAGTTTTTCGTTGCGCCTCTTTCCGTTCACCATTTTCTATATAAATTATATATTTCTATTTCATCCGGATGGAGAGAAGGAGGGGGGGGGGGGGGGATGAGGTGCACTTCTACCACGCTGAAACTTAAAAACACAACAACAACAACAAAAAGCTTTAAGCTGAGAACCGTTGTGTTGAAAACAAATTTTGTGTGACCTTGACCTCGAAAGAGGCTTGAATTTTTTTCTCTCTTTTTTTTTCTGAAGAGCTACACAAATAAAAGGGAGGTAACCGGGAATTTGTTTTCAGTCGAATCAGCTGTCATGGAACTTGTGTACTGACTGGATCGTTGGGCGTCTGGGGTGGGGGGGGGGGGAAATGGAACATTGACTGGATCGTTGGACGCGTGGGGTGGGGGTGTCTAAAAATCTCACTTTGATGGATTTCTCGTTAGGGCGGTGTGTACTTTATCACATAAATAATTTCTGCAAATTTTGAAGCTTTTTCCTCGAGCTCTCGGCATTACCCAAAATAAACTCGATTTTTTTTTACCCCGAGGATATTGTTTATAAGATTCAGGAAGATATTTTTGATCTACACGCGTCTTTTGTTTTTTAGGCGTACATCATTCTCTATCTGACTGCGTTTCTTTCTCTGTGGGTAAAGTGTGGGTAAAACTGTGTGTAAAGTGTGGATGAACATATGGGTTAACCTGTGGGTTAACATGTGGGTAAAGTGTGGTTTAACCTGTGGGTAAAGTGATGGTTAACCTGTGGGTAATGTGTGGTTTAACCTGTGGGTAAAGTGTGGTTTAACCTGTGGGTAAAGTGATGGTTAACCTGTGGGTAATGTGTGGTTTAACCTGTGGGTAAAGTGATGGTTAACCTGTGGTAAAGTGTGGGTAACCTGTGGGTAAAGTGTGGGTTAACCTGTGGGTAAAATGTGGTTTAACCTGTAGGTAAAGAGTGGGTTAAAGTGTGGGTTAACCTGTGGGTAAAATGTGGTTTAACCTGTGGGTAAAGTGTGGTTTAACCTGTGTGTACAAAGTTTGTTAAACTTTGTTAGTAACGCATGATGGCACAAAGAAGACAGGCATGATAGACGCTACAAAACGCATTCAGTTCACGTAATGTGAAGTAAGTTGAAATGGTTTAGATTATACAAACACAAGCTATTTTTACTAACAAGATAATTTAATTTGGTTAGTATTGCACATAAGCATGTTTATTTAGTTAACATTTAACATACACTTCCCTATTTAGTTAACATTTAACATACAATTTTTATTTTTATTAAGTTAACTTTGGACATACACGAAAGCTTTATTAATGGAACATTTGGGAATATGATACCATTTCGGCGCATTCCGTATATTTGATATGTGATACCCTCCCCCACCCCCCCGCCCCTCCCCCTTGCATCGTAGTGTCACATGATAATTCCTTCATTAACTAATGGAAGCAAGGGGCTAGTTTAGATCAAATCGATGACCGGACGAGACGCATACCCCTCCACCCCCTTCATGCCCCCACCACCCTCCATCCCCCTCATGCACCCCACCACCTTTCTCCTCTACGACCCCCGTGGCCTAGGGGTCGCTGGCTACAAGACAATGTAGGTTGCTTCCCCCTCAGTCCACAGTACTGGACATCACCCCGCCAGGCCTTGCCCCCCCCCCCCCCGTGTGCTGGTACTTGTTGCTGTCACGTGTAGTGTATGCTGGTGCTGGAGCGATTCAACACAATTTTGTTCTCGTCAAGTACATGTTTTCTTTATGTGATGGTCCTATTTTATCTTAGCTTGTTTGTCCTATTTTATCTTAGCTTGTTTGTCCTATTTTATCTTAGCTTGTTTGTCCTATTTTATCTTAGCTTGTTTGTCCTATTTTATCTTAGCGTGTTTGTCCTATTTTATCTTAGCGTGTTTGTCCTATTTTATCTTAGCTTGTTTGTCCTATTTTATCTTAGCTTGTTTGTCCTATTTTATCTTAGCGTGTTTGTCCTATTTTATCTTAGCGTGTTTGTCCTATTTTATCTTAGCGTGTTTGTCCTATTTTATCTTAGCTTGTTTGTCCTAGCTTGTATGTCCTGGACTATAAGTATTATAGCCCACTGGAGCTTTTGCCAAGCCCCGTAACATATCACATGGCCCACATAGATGGAACATATCCCATGGCCCACATAGATGTAACATCACATGGCCCATATAGATGGAACGTCACATGGCCCACATAGATGTAACATCACATGGCCCACATAGATATAACATTACATGGCCCATATAGATGTAACATCACATGGCCCATATAGATGTAACGTCACATGGCCCATATAGATGTAACGTCACATGGCCCACATAGATGTAACATCAATTGGCCCATATAGATGTAACATCACATGGCCCACATAGATATAACATTACATGGCCCATATAGATGTAACATCACATGGCCCACATAGATGTAACGTCACATGGCCCATATAGATGTAACGTCACATGGCCCATATAGATGTAACATCACTTGGCCCATATAGATGTAACATCACATGGCCCATATAGATGTAACATCACATGGCCCACATAAATGTAACATCACTTGGCCCACATAGATGTAACATCACATGGCCCACATAGATGTAACATCACATGGCCCACATAGATGTAACATCTCCCCCCCATGCCCCATAATTTAGCCACGTGATCAGTCACAAATGATTAGAGACGGCTCACCCGCCTGATTTCTGCTGTCAAATAAATTCGGGATTTCCCGATTTTCCCTGGCACGCTCATGAGCTCTTGGGACTTCAGGATCTTTTTTTTTTATGGTTACGTAGATTCTAGTTTGGTTCTGTTTATTTTGTTGTGATGTAGTTTGTTTCTGTTAATGTTGTTGTTATGTAGTTTATTTCTATTTGTTTTG